ACCCTAAACCCTAAACCCTAAACCCTAAACCCTAAACCCTAAACCCTAAACCCTAAACCCTAAACCCTAAACCCTAAACCCTAAACCCTAAACCCTAAACCCTAAACCCTAAACCCTAAACCCTAAACCCTAAACCCTAAACCCTAAACCCTAAACCCTAAACCCTAAACCCTAAACCCTAAACCCTAAACCCTAAACCCTAAACCCTAAACCCTAAACCCTAAACCCTAAACCCTAAACCCTAAACCCTAAACCCTAAACCCTAAACCCTAAACCCTAAACCCTAAACCCTAAACCCTAAACCCTAAACCCTAAACCCTAAACCCTAAACCCTAAACCCTAAACCCTAAACCCTAAACCCTAAACCCTAAACCCTAAACCCTAAACCCTAAACCCTAAACCCTAAACCCTAAACCCTAAACCCTAAACCCTAAACCCTAAACCCTAAACCCTAAACCCTAAACCCTAAACCCTAAACCCTAAACCCTAAACCCTAAACCCTAAACCCTAAACCCTAAACCCTAAACCCTAAACCCTAAACCCTAAACCCTAAACCCTAAACCCCCCTAAACCCTAAACCCTAAAACCCTAAACCCTAAACCCTAAACCCTAAACCCTAAACCCTAAACCCTAAACCCTAAACCCTAAACCCTAAACCCTAAACCCTAAACCCTAAACCCTAAACCCTAAACCCTAAACCCTAAACCCTAAACCCTAAACCCTAAACCCTAAACCCTAAACCCTAAACCCTAAACCCTAAACCCTAAACCCTAAACCCTAAACCCTAAACCCTAAACCCTAAACCCTAAACCCTAAACCCTAAACCCTAAACCCTAAACCCTAAACCCTAAACCCTAAACCCTAAACCCTAAACCCTAAACCCTAAACCCTAAACCCTAAACCCTAAACCCTAAACCCTAAACCCTAAACCCTAAACCCTAAACCCTAAACCCTAAACCCTAAACCCTAAACCCTAAACCCTAAACCCTAAACCCTAAACCCTAAACCCTAAACCCTAAACCCTAAACCCTAAACCCTAAACCCTAAACCCTAAACCCTAAACCCTAAACCCTAAACCCTAAACCCTAAACCCTAAACCCTAAACCCTAAACCCTAAACCCTAAACCCTAAACCCTAAACCCTAAACCCTAAACCCTAAACCCTAAACCCTAAACCCTAAACCCTAAACCCTAAACCCTAAACCCTAAACCCTAAACCCTAAACCCTAAACCCTAAACCCTAAACCCTAAACCCTAAACCCTAAACCCTAAACCCTAAACCCTAAACCCTAAACCCTAAACCCTAAACCCTAAACCCTAAACCCTAAACCCTAAACCCTAAACCCTAAACCCTAAACCCTAAACCCTAAACCCTAAACCCCTAAACCCTAAACCCTAAACCCCTAAACCCTAAACCCTAAAACCCTAAACCTAACCCTAAACCCTAAACCCTAAACCCTAACCCCTAAACCCTAACCCTAAACCCTAAACCATAACCCTAAACCCTAAACCTAAACCCTAAACCCTAAACCCTAAACCCTAAACCCTAAACCCTAAACCCTAAACCCTAAACCCTAAACCCTTTAAACCCTAAACCCTAAACCCTAAACCCTAAACCCTAAACCCTAAACCCTAAACCCTAAACCCCTAAACCCTAAACCCTAAACCCTAAACCCCTAAACCCTAAACCCTAAACCCTAAACCCTAAACCCTAAACCCTAAACCCTAACCCTAAACCCTAAACCCTAAACCCTAAACCCTAAACCCTAAACCCTAAACCCTAAACCCTAAACCCTAAACCCTAAACCCTAAACCCTAAACCCTAAACCCTAAACCCTAACCCTAAACCCTAAACCCTAAACCCTAAACCCTAAACCCTAAACCCCTAAACCCTAAACCCTAAACCCTAAACCCTAAACCCTAAACCCTAAACCCTAAACCCTAAACCCTAAACCCTAAACCCTAAACCCTAAACCCTAAACCCTAAACCCTAAACCCTAAACCCTAAACCCTAAACCCTAAACCCTAAACCCTAAACCCTAAACCCTAAACCCTAAACCCTAAACCCTAAACCCTAAACCCTAAACCCTAAACCCTAAACCCTAAACCCTAAACCCTAAACCCTAAACCCTAAACCCTAAACCCTAAACCCTAAACCCTAAACCCTAAACCCTAAACCCTAAACCCTAAACCCTAAACCCTAAACCCTAAACCCTAAACCCTAAACCCTAAACCCTAAACCCTAAACCCTAAACCCTAAACCCTAAACCCTAAACCCTAAACCCTAAACCCTAAACCCTAAACCCTAAACCCTAAACCCTAAACCCTAAACCCTAAACCCTAAACCCTAAACCCTAAACCCTAAACCCTAAACCCTAAACCCTAAACCCTAAACCCTAAACCCTAAACCCTAAACCCTAAACCCTAAACCCTAAACCCTAAACCCTAAACCCTAAACCCTAAACCCTAAACCCTAAACCCTAAACCCTAAACCCTAAACCCTAAACCCTAAACCCTAAACCCTAAACCCTAAACCCTAAACCCTAAACCCTAAACCCTAAACCCTAAACCCTAAACCCTAAACCCTAAACCCTAAACCCTAAACCCTAAACCCTAAACCCTAAACCCTAAACCCTAAACCCTAAACCCTAAACCCTAAACCCTAAACCCTAAACCCTAAACCCTAAACCCTAAACCCTAAACCCTAAACCCTAAACCCTAAACCCTAAACCCTAAACCCTAAACCCTAAACCCTAAACCCTAAACCCTAAACCCTAAACCCTAAACCCTAAACCCTAAACCCTAAACCCTAAACCCTAAACCCTAAACCCTAAACCCTAAACCCTAAACCCTAAACCCTAAACCCTAAACCCTAAACCCTAAACCCTAAACCCTAAACCCTAAACCCTAAACCCTAAACCCTAAACCCTAAACCCTAAACCCTAAACCCTAAACCCTAAACCCTAAACCCTAAACCCTAAACCCTAAACCCTAAACCCTAAACCCTAAACCCTAAACCCTAAACCCTAAACCCAAGCTGCTGGCGGGGTCTCTCTGCTGGCGGTGGTGCTGCTGGCGGGATCTCTGCTGGCGGTGTAGCTGCTGGCGGGGTCTCTGCTGGCGGTGTAGCTGCTGGCGGGGTCTCTCTGCTGGCGGTGGTGCTGCTGGCGGGGTCTCTCTGCTGGCGGTGTAGCTGCTGGCGGTGTAGCTGCTGGCGTGGTCTCTCTGCTGGCGGTGTAGCTGCTGGCAGGGTCTCTCTGCTGGCGGTGGTGCTGCTGGCGGAATTTCTCTGCTGGCGGTGTATCTGCTGGCGGGGGTTTCTGCTGGCGTTGTAGCTGCTGGCGGTCCCGCCACGCCCTTCCCCCGTCCCTCTCATCCCCCCCTGTGACTGTAGCTGCACATGGGAATAGCCGCGATAGGGGGTGACGTGAAGGGGCCACGACGGGGAAAGGGGAGGCGACGGGAGGCGACGGGGACGGCGGCAAGGACTGCAGGTGCGCTGGCGGTCGTCGCTGGTGTTCCGCCGCCACTCCCTTCCCCATTTCCCTCTCCTCCCCGCAGCGTTCCGCAGCCACTCCCGTCCCCTCCTCCCTCTCCCCCCCACAGCGACCGCCGCTACACACGCGAACAGTCGCGACAAGGGGGGGGGGCGACGGGCAGGGGGCAGGGGGATTGCGACGGGCAGAGCGACGGCGGGCGAAGGAGCGGCTGGGGCGGCTGGCGGCTGGTGCAGCTGATGGGGCGCGACGGGTGGGACGAGCTGCAGACGGGCTACAGTCCGGGCGGGAGCTGACGGTGTGCAGGGGACGGGCTGCAGTAGCAAAGGGCGCGCGAGCGCTGGTGCGCTGGCGGTCGTCTCTGATGTGCCGCCGCCACTCCCTTCCCCCCTTTCCTCTCCCCCCCACAGCATTCCACTGCCACTCCCTTCCCCTCCTCTCTCTCCTCCCCACAGCGTTCCGCCGCCACTCCCTTCCCCTCCTCCCTCTCCTCCCCACGGTGACTGCCGCTGCACACGCAAACAGTCGCGACGGGGGGGGTGACGGGCAGGGGGCGGGGGGAATGCGACGGGCAGAGCGACGGCGGGCGAAGGAGCGGCTGGGGCGACAGACCGCAGCGAGACAAGGGCGGGCGACGATCGACGAGGCAGGTGACGGGACGTGACGCGACGGGCGGCAGCGCGACGGGATAACGTGCGACGGGTGACGCGCTGCAGAAGCGGATAGCTCGCGGGCGGCGGGCTGCTGCAGCGGGTATCGCGCGGGCGACGGGCTGAATGGGGGAAAGCCCTCATGAGGCGCACTACGGGCCGCACAACGTGGCGCGCCATGGCGAGAGGCTAGCGGTGGGCCCATGAAAATCGGTCCTTAGGAAGGAACCGCTCTATACCATGTCAAAGTACTAATGTAAGGGTTTAGGGCCTAGGCTTAGTAGCCTAGGCCAACGTATGTCGAGAGAGTTCGTGCCAAGAGAATGTGAGAATGGTTGGTTTCACTATAGCACACAAGGTACATTTCGCAAACTAGCCAAGGTGCACCACCAGATAAGCAAATATATAACTACACTAACACTAACTACAAACAGTTATATAAACTATGCAAAACATAGTTTGACAGGGGGGGGTCGCTGAAGGAGGTGGTGGCGGAGGTGGCGGGGGGGCTGGAGAAGCGCGAGGTGGAGGAGGTCATGACGCAGCTGCAGCGACACCACGACTGGAAGGCCACCCTCGAGGTGTCGCGCGCTGTTGGGCCATCCCCTTGTTCAATCTTGCCGCTCTAAAGAAGCGATGGTCAGGGCACAACCTCAGCAACCCTCCCCCTTCTCCCGTCCCCTCCCCTCCCGAAGTTGTGTCTCTACAACGCCCTTATGAGCATCTTACTCCACCCAGTCTGCCCTCGTCAATCCCCCTCCTCCCTATCCTCCCCCTCCTCCTCGCCCTCCTCCTCCTCTCCCCTGCGCCAGGTGTTCGCATGGAGCCAGCAGCAGGCGTGGTTTCGACCCAACATGCGGCTGTACAACGCGCTCATGGGCTTCCTGGCGAGGGAGCACCAGGCGCACGCCGCCACGCTGCTCTTCCAGGACATGCTGCTGTCGTGCGCGCGCTCTAACCACTTCACCTACACCGCACTCATCAACGCGTACAGCCGCGCCGGGTGGTTTGAGGGCGCGCTTGCTGTCTTCCACCACATGAAGACGTGCGACGACAATGACTGCAGGTGAGGGGAAGGGGATTACTGGCGGTGAGAGCGTCACAGTGTGCCAGCTGTGATGGGATGGGCATCACGCTGTTCCTTGCCGCTTCACATCGCCCCAAACCCGCCTGCACGTCTCACTGTAAATCCTCGCGACCCCTTGCCACCCCTCCTGTCATCCCACCCAGGCCTAACACAGTGACGTGCAACGCGCTGATTGGTGCGCTGTGCAAGGGGGGCATGTACGACGAGGCAGCGGAGGTGTTCATGGACATGCGCTCTGGGGCGGGCCGCCTGCCACTCAACTGACGGTCAGCTGTGCCGTGCTGGGCCGACAGCGGGTGGGGCGACATGCAGAGCAAGCATTGTGGACATGTATGCCCGCGCATGCAAAGGAGGTGCAGCCAGTTACTGCTCTTATGTCCTGCCAGCACGTTACTATCAAGGGAAGAGGCGCTCACGCCTAGGCCGACGGCTAGACAAATACAGGACGTGCAGAAAGTGAAGAGTGCAGACGAAGGAAATTACTGCCCAGAGGATTATGGTTCCTTCTCTCACCTTCTCTCTCGCCCTTTTATGCGCGCATCCACACAAAAAGATGTACAACACGCTCATGGACGGGTATGGGGTTGCTCATGGCTTCTCATTTGTTTGACCTTCCCTCTACCCATCTCATCCGCCTCTCCACCCACACATGTTTCCCCCAGGCCCAACATAGTGACGTACAACACGCTCATCGACCCCTTGTGCCGGGAAGGCCAGCTCAATGCCGCTTTGCAGGTGGGTGTGCTATGCTGTGCGACCACAGGTTGCTGGTGTCAATACGGTATTCTGGTGTCAATACGGTTTGCTGGTGCAACACGGTGAGCTGGTGCACATTGTGCATACACCCATCTCATACATTTTGCTTCTACCACACCACATGTGACTCCTATGCATCAGCTACATCTCCCAACTTCACTACCCCCCATCCTCCATACCCCACCCCACTCGCCCACCAGGTGTTGGACGACCTGTCATCGGGCGTGTTGGACGAGCAGGTGGAGCCCAACATAGTGACGTGCAACACCATCATCAACGCATGTGGCAAGGCGGGCCGCGCCCCCGACGCCGAGGCCACGCTGCAGGCAATGGAGTGCACCGCCATGGCGGCGGACGGCATCGCGTTCACCGCACTCGTGGACGCGTACGGCCGCACAGGCGACGTGGAGCGCGCTAAGGAGGCATTTCAGCGTATGCTGCAGGCAGGCATCCCCCCTGACGTGTTCTCCTACACGGCCCTCATGGCTGCCTTTGGCCGCGCTGGCCTGTCGGACCGCGTCACCGAGACGCTGGCTGCCATGCAGCGCGCGGGCGTGCTGCCCAACGAGGTGACGTTCCTCACCGTGCTGGACGCCCATGGCAAGGCGGGTAACTACGAGGAGGCTGACGCCACGCTCGTCGCCATGGTTACGTGCGGTTACCGCCCGCCGGTGTACAGCTGGAGCTGCTTGATTGACGCGTTTGGGAAGGCGGGGCTTTATGGCAAGGCAGCAGGGGCGTTTGAGCGCATGCAGGCCGAGGGCTGCCGCCCGAATCTGATCACGTACGCAGCGATTTTGTCTGCTTGTGCGCGGTGTGAGAAGTGGGAGGACTCGCTGGAGCTGCTGTACCGCCTGCAGAGGACTGGCGGCGAATGGGAGGTCGCCATGTGTCGGCTCGTGATGGCAGGCCCAGAGGAGGAAGGAGAGGAGTGTGCGAGTGAGGAGGAGGTGGTGGAGGGGCTGGTGAGAAGAGGGGCGCGGGGAGGGGCGGGCAGGAGGGGCGAGAGGGGGGACGAGGGGCTGTGGGAGTCAGCAGGGCGGATGTTTGGTGCGTTCCAGGCGCTGCCGTTGGCCATGCGGCGCTCCTTCTACAACGCGCTGGCCGACGTGCTCTGGAGCTTTGGCATGCGGCGCCGCGCTGCCCGCGTGGTGGCGTTGGCCCGTGGGCTGGGCGTGTATGGCGGTGCGGACGACCTGCACAAGGAGGCGCGCGGTGCACGCAGGGGTGGCGTGGGGCACAGGGAGAGCTGCAGTGGCAGTGAGAGTGAGAGTGGCAGTGGTACTGGGAGTGGCAAGCAGAGAGGTAGTGGGGGCAGCAGGGGCGGCGGCATGTGGAGGGAGGAGGGCATCTGGAATGTGGACCTGCACGAGCACTCCATTGGCTCCGCTGCGCCTTCCTCTTCCTCTGGCTGCGCGACCTGCGCACCGCCTGGCAGGTGCGCTGCTCACAAGGGGGTAGAGAGCGGCTATAAAGGGAGAGTGTAGAGTGGGAAGAGAATTGGCCATGCCCGTGTGTCCTGATGCCCAGCTGCCTGTGCACTGTAAGCGTAACTCCTCTCCTCGTGCTCGCCCATCATGGAGTCGCATCAAGTCTCTCCAGTTTCTCCTTTTCCAATCCTCACCAATCCCCCATCCATCCGTCCCATTCCCTCCACTCTCTTTTCTACATCTCCTTGCTCTTCCTCCCTGCCCCCTGCCCCCTGCCCCCCGTCTGCCTGTCTGCCTGCCCACGTCCCAGTGGCACAATGAGATACCGGAGGCCATCGATACAGTCACGGGGTGCGGGAGTCACAGCAAGCGCAAGGACGCCACGTCAGACAGGCTAGCACAGGTGGCGCCCCTCAAGGCAGCGGTCCTGAGGGAGCTGCACCTCATGCACTCGCCCTTCCAGGAACTTTCTGTCAATGCGGGGCGGCTGGTGGCGGGCGGGTGGGCGGCGTACTCGTGGCTGTTGCAGGAGGAGATGGGGGAGCGGCTGCAGCTCAGGGATGCGCCCCAGCCCGTGCCTCCTGGGGACAAGCCCTACGAACCACTGTAACAGACTCAGTAGATAAGGAGCATGCACCCATTTCGAGGTGCTGTTACGGTATCTGTTGCTCAATGGGCTTCGTTGTACCCTAGCTAGGGGCACTTCCCCTCGTGCCCTCATTATGTGTTGGACAAGTGAATGAGATGGTTGGCATACTTGTAACATGCGCCTACATGGATGACATACTTGTCAACAATGCATACCTATTCGAGCCACTGAAATCATCAAAGGGATACCGTACCTCAGCTAAGGTATCCGCCACCAGCAGGTGGGTGACAGGTCAGGAGAAGAAGCGGGAGAGGGCGACAGAGGGCACATAGTCGAGCACGATGCCGTCCTCCAGCCCCTGGAAGAGCACCCCCGCGTACTCCTTGTGCGCCGGATCCTCCACGTACGCATCACGCCCCTTGGCGTCGTCAAAGGTGGTGATGAACACGTGCGTGTACCCCTTGTGCAGCCCCTCCACACTCACGTCCGCGCCTCTGAAGCAGGGGGAGCAGTAGCAGTGGGGGCGGCAGGGAGGGCGGCAGGGGGGTGTTCGTTGGCGCAGAACGGGGTTGTGAGGAAGAGAGGGAGGGGCAGAGGGGAGGATGAGGCCCCATAGCCAGTCTGGCCCCATGGTGCCTTGGGGATTCCACAGGGGAGCTCGTGAAAATGCACCTGTGCAATAGGAATGGAGCAGCACGGGCCAAGCCAACGGAATGACGTTGACAGGTTTCTATACGGAAGAGGAAATGGAAAACCGCGGGGAGAGGAAAGGGTCATGAGGCATAATGCAGCTCACCACTCGAATCCTTTCATGGCCGGAATCTTCTTCGTGAGAGCTTGATATCCGTCGATCAGCTCCTGAATCTGCTCTGCCGTCCAATCCGCCTTGAATTTCGCCAGGAATACGTGCTTCACAGTCGATTTTCCTATTTTAGGCTTCAGCAGAGTACGCGATAAAAGCAGGCCCACACCAGTACCGACAAGAGCGGCAGCCGCTGTGATGATGGAAGCGAGCTCTCGAGTCATCTTGCCGCGATCACCTAAAATTCGTGCGGTGCGAAGGCGGTGGGCGACGGTGAGCACTTGGGCTCGCGGCGACGAGAGCGGGCAAGATCGTAGAGATGAGCAGAGCGGAGAGTGGCGAGTGAGCGTGAATGTTGTAGTGGTGTTCCCCGTAAGGGTGCGTCAGATCCGCTACAATGTGATTTGGCTGGAATTTTGTCGACAATTTGGTCGACTGTATCTTTCGCCAAAGTCGACAACGTGGTCGACATAAAAAGCGACCAATATCCGGCCACATTTACAGGGCCGAAAAATCTGACACATTTGGTGGCCGATTTGCAGGCCGCTTTGCAAATGTGTCAGATTTTCAGTTCGCTAGGGTGGCCGGATTGTGCGACGGAGTCGCAGATGCAGTACTTGTGTGACACGTTGCGTCGCACGAGCTGGCGACGTCGTATAGTGACTGTAGCGATCTCAGGTCGACAAATTGGTCGACTTTCGAGTCGACTGCACGTCGGAACTTTGTCGAATGCTGAACCGGCCATCATTTTTTTTTACAAATGGCCGGATTTAGCGAACTCGACGACAATTTGTGCGAGTGTCGCAAACTTGTTACTTTCGTTAATTCCGGCCGGCCGGATTTTTCCGACAACGGATCTGACGCACCCTAAGGAAGATTTGGAATATTGGCGAATCGAAAGCTCCCGCCTGGGCACGAGGATCGCGGACGGCGTGGATCTTGTTACACTCAAGGTGGTGTACCAAACAGATCAAGTTCATACCATCGTGCAGATAGTGTAAATTGTCATAAAAATAGCATCTGATAATCACAAATTATATCGTTATTGCCTCCAGCACTGGATCACAATGCCCCTTGCACCATCATCGACCAATGACAGCACGATGTATAGGGAATAATAACTACCGTAAGATAAGACCTCGTAAGGACATATACCCCAAGGCGAGAGGGAGGAGACGAAAAGGGAGAACTGACGCTGTATCATCTAATCAGGCAAACAGCAACGACTGAGTCCAATGCATCACTGCACACAAGAAGCAGGCACTTATGACCTATCTACTTAGGAAACACAACCAACGGCATACGCCGTGCGGGGAGCTGGATACTGAAGGGCACGCAGACGCGCCGCGGAGATCCGCTCAGTCCGCTGCGGGGTTGGCGAAAGTAGCTTGGTCACATCCCTGAAGCCGTGCGACGACGCCGACGACGCTCTGCATCGCCTTCAAGGAGATACGCGTATCGGGCTCGGTTGCCAAGTCGAGGATGAAATCTACTGTTTCCCACACGATAAACGGCTCGATTCGAATAAGAAGAGGGTCTAAGGGCCGATGAGCTGCAGGAGGTGCGGCTGCGGCTCGGTGTAGAGCATACCGACGGCGATGACGAGCGGCACGAAGCCGTACTGCGCCGCGACCTTGGCCTTCCGCAGCACCCACGTCGGCCACTCCTTTACGGCCCGCGCCACGCGCTCGTAGTCAAACAGAGCCATCGCGACGCCCGACGCGCGCAGAGGAACAGGAGGGATGCTAGGAGGGAGCAGAGGAGAAGCAGATCGAGGAGGTTCGAGGGAACGGAGCTGGCGAAAACGGTGAGATGTGGGGAGATGTGGGGAGCGTGGATGGGAAAAGGGGCGAGAGAGAGCAGCTGTCGAAAAAAATGGGTGTATGCAGCTGATTATGCGGAGTGTACCTTTTGAATGTTTGTATGTACAGTGGTTTCACACAAACATTTCTTCGAATGCATTTGATGGGCCGATATGGATCAGCCTCGCTCACAGGTCGTATCGCAATCACAATCCGGTTGTGCTCTCCGTTGCAAGCCGCCATTGCTTCCAAACAATCATGCCATAGAGAGGATGGCATTCAACCACCTAGCAATGATACCTCCACTCCACATACGCACCGATACTCCTTAGCTCGCGCGCATCGCCATCTCGTTCCACGTCCACCATGCCTTCTGCAATGACTTGACCAAAAGCCCGCCGCCACTCACGCATTGCTGGCAGCAGCAGCAGGAGAGCGACTGACGCTCTCGCTTCGGCGTCCGACACGACGCGTGCCTACTACCACGAGGCTCGCTGGCCCAGCGCCAGGACTCCCTTCCGCGAGAACATATGCGGATTTCACCAGCGATTGTGCGAAATGCCTTCGCGAACAGGTATCCTCGGCAATCGAGGGTTTCTGTTGCTGCTGGTCGCGGTCGTACTCGCGTCCTATTGGCTGATCGCCGACGACAGCAGCAGCCAAAACGACCTTCTGGTCGGAGAGAACTTTCCGGGGGGAGACTCCCCCGATGCCCTCTCTGAAACACTCTCGCTAGAAGAAAAATCCCCGTTAAAATCACGTGAATCTTCATGCGGAGACTGAGTCACAGCAACAAGAATCGGGGAGCCCACCCCGTGATACTCATTCAACCCAGCGGTCTGGCTCTTCCCGTTACTGTCACTTGTACCAGGGTCGATGGGTGAGGGGCGCGAGAACACCTGTTTCTCGTTATTACCACGGCGGGGAGGGCTTCTGGATATCGCAGTGCCTGTGGGAGAAATTCAACTGCCGCCGCATGCAACGGCCAGTGGGAGATGGCCGGGGGAAGCAGCGCGGAAATGCAGAATCCGAAGAAAAGATGCTGCAAAGGCGACGGTTACAAGAGGAAGGGCAGCAGGAGGAGAAAGAGAGAGGTGTGGGGGGAGGTTCGGTGCAGACGAGTAATGCAGGGGCGCATGAAGGGACGCCGCAGCAGGGAGAGCAGACCGGGCGAAGAAGCAGATAGGCGGGAGATAAGGGCAAGGAGGAGGGTGGGAAAGAGAGGGAGGGCGAGGGCATGAGGCGGGACTTAGCGTTTGAGGAGTATGGGTGGCAGCCCCATGGGTGCGACGTGCCTGCCTTCAACGCCTCCGACTTCCTCCCAAGGCACGCACGGCCCTTTCCCCTCCCTCACCCGCACCCCATCTGGCGCCCACTGCAGCGCACCAGGCGCTAGGCAAAGCCATGGCACCTCGGCTCTCGGCGCTCGCTCCCTGTGCCACCACCTCAATCCAAAACGCCCGTGCCCCTTCACTGGCAGCTGTTGGTGCCATACATGCACTCTCTCACTTGCCACGCCATGCAACATCTCACCGCCTTTCCTCCTCCCCTCCTCCCATCCTCCCCTCCTCCCCTCCTCCCCTCCTCCCGTCCTCCCCTCTTTCCCCCTTTTCCCCCCCTTTCCAACCCCATGCCATGCGTGTGCCAGGATGCGCCACCACACCGTGGCGCTGGTGGGCGACTCGCTGAGCCGCCAGCAGTTCCTCTCGCTGCTCTGCCTGCTCTGCTCGCCCCCCGCCCCCGAGTGCTGCCGCCCAACCACACCCACCCAGTCAACGCAGCCAGCGAGGGCAGGGAGGGCGGGCAGGGCGTGGCGGTGGTGGACGTGGGGTGGCGCTTCAACCTCACGTGGGGCGCGCCTGTGCGCGGCACTGCCAGGGGCGCGGCTGTGTGGCTGCCCGGCAGCAACACCACGCTGCTGCAGCGCACGTCCAACCTGCTGTGCCGCGAGGAGGTGCTGCCCGCTGTCGTGCCTGTGGAGGAAGAGGGAGAGGAGGAGGAGGAGGAGGGGGAGGATGAGAAGAAGGAAGGGGGGAGTGAGGGGAGAGGGTAGAGGAGGGCGGGCAGGGGCGGCGGCAAGTGGGGGCGGGGAGGAGGCGGCAGTATCGGCGGGTGGTTCAGGTGTATGAGGCGGACGAGTGGCTGCTGCAGCACCTGTGGCGCCTGGATGTGGTCGTTCTCAGCACCGCCAACCACTGGACTGCCCACAGGTGCGCGCACGGGGAGGGAACATGAGGCGAGGCATACACGCAGGCAGGAAGGCAGGGTCTTCGGGTTGTGTTTCATCACACGCCCCTCACTCCCGCCACCCACTCCTCATTACCTCCGCCCCTCGTCCTCCCGGCCCCTCATTTGCACTGCCTTACATCCCCCCCCCTGTCCGTCCTTCCCGTTCCTTTGCCCCTTATCTCGCCATCCTCCACCTCATTCTCTCCCGTTCAGCTTCAGGGCCAACCAGCGGGCCGTGCAGACCTCCCCCACAGCCCAGCCGTTCGTGCCGTCTGAGAGTCAACTGGAGTCAATGCCATTCCTGGCCGACCTGCGCGGGCAGGCACTGCTGGCAGTCATGCGCTCCCTCGCGCTCTCAGTTGCACACTCACCCCGTGCCGCTGCGGCGCTCATCTTCCTGCGCTCTGCCTTGCCCAGCCATTTCACTGGCGGCACCTTTCAATCCGGTGGCCGCTGCCACATGCATGCGGTGAGTGCACACACCTGGTACGGCCATATGCACGCTGCGTGCACATGCATGAGCACAAGCTGTTGCAGCAAACAGTAGCGCTCTGCTGCACATGCTGCTCCCCACCACCCCATACATATCTGAACATTTCTTCTTCCTTGTTCCCCTCTCTCTCCTCCCCCCGGACCCATTCCCGCCAGGAGCCCCTCTCACCTGCAACAGCGTGCCCACATGCTGCCGACTGCCGTGATGCCGCAGCAGAGGAAGCTGTAGCAGCTGCCAGCGCTGCTGTTGCTGCCGCTACAGCTGCTGCCACCGCTGGTACAGAAGCCGGTGCGGCCACCATGCCTGCCGCACCACCCTCTGCCTCGGCCGTGCCTACTTCCATGTCGGGGCAGCCCAGCATCCCGTGGCTGCGCCTGCTGGACGCCTTCCCGCTCTCCCTCATGCGCCCCGACACCCACGTCGTGGCCTTCCACCCACTCCCAAATGCCCTCCCTCTGCCCCACCCGTTCACGTCAGAGAAACCGCTGCTGCCACACGAGGCAGTGAACGGGTCGGTGGTGGGGCGGGGCGGTGGTGGTGCAGGGGGGGTGCGAGTGGGGGGGATGACGCGTGACTGCGTGCACTGGTGCCTGCCTGGCGTGCCTGACATCTGAAACGAGCTCATGTATGCCGACCTCCTGCAGTCTGACCTTCTCAGAGCCACTTGATTCCACTTACGCTTCTCGTAATGAGCACCCACACAATCTATCCCGACAGCATCATCAGAGCTGGCCCCCTTACAGATGTGATGTGAGCAATAGACGACGCAACAAGGAACCCCCTATGGCACACGAGAGATGCTGCCTTTGTATATCAAGTCAGTGCTATGAGATGCAAGCAACAGCGGGAGTTAAGAGTGGAGAGAGTGAACACAATATGCTCTCGCTCTCAGACTGGTCGGATAGAATTCAGTGACAAGGGCAGGCAAGTGTCGCCCACTCTAGTCCCTGTCCACCGTTCCTCTGCCCCTGCCCTCTGGCTGTTGCTCATTTCGTCGAGCAAGGATGGCGTTCTGCCAGGCCAATGACTCCTCTGCTCTGCACTGCCAACACACCTGTTACCACCATGTTTCCCTAGATCGCACTAAACCGCTACCCCGTATGTCTCAGCCGCAGTGCAAAGCTAGCTACTTTGCGCCTGAGCTTGTTCTGCCTCCTGCTTGTTCAAGTGTGTACGATCCTTCCTGCAAGCTTTGGGGGTGGATTGTAGCCCCCTGACACTGCTATAGAAAATACAGCATGGCATCCATGATATAAACTCAAACTGTTCTTGCCATCTCCAGGAATAAAATATGAGCTCCAGAAGCATCACGAGGCTGAAACTCGAGAGACATGTCACTTTTGCTGGGCGCAGCAACCTGCAAAACGGCCACGGGCAATTATAACGCATTTTCTGAATATATAAAAGCGGGTATGAAGGAAGTGGTGAAGCGCATACCTGCAGGGCATCACGGGCATCGAGTGACTCCTTACTGCCACTCTGCTTGGAGGTCACAGTGAGGCCACCCTCAATGCACAGCAGGTACATCTGCCGCCCCCTCTGCAGTGTGTACTCCAAGCTCCTCGTAGCAGCAGCCGATTCGGGCGTGGCACTCACTGGGCCATCCATCTCCGAGACAAAGATGTTCACATCTTGATTCACGGGAATGATTCCAGACCCGGCATCTTGATTCGAACCATAACGGTCATAGCTGGTTACCACTTGCTGTAGCTTGTTGTGGCGATCGCTCTTGCTGCAAAACATGGGAGGGATTGAAAAGGAGAAAAACAGAAACACCAAGTCAGAGACACTTCATGCACATTCCAGTCGCAGGTCTTACAGTCAATACAAGTACTAAGCTATCCAAGATGGAAATGACAAAACGATGTGAGAATGAGGGACCGGATACGGACACAATGGACGTGAATGGAATAATGCGCAGAGAAAAAAGGTGGCTTGTGTGTTGCGCAAAGAACCTTGATCTCACCTGAAAGTACGTGAGCCATAATTGGGCTTGAGACCCCTTGCATTCGGCTTCACCCAGATTTGAATAAACCGTTGCCTGCAGGTCCGGATAAGGAGGAGAACAGACAATGCATGGAAACGGGAATAAACTTACAGCAAGGAAAAGTACAGGGTCAACAAGGCTAAAACAATTAGGACAACGCGGATCGTGTTGATGGTCACATCACATGCACGTACAGGTGGTTGGAGTGGTTCATCTCGGAGTGCGTGACGCCCGTGCCCGCACTCATGTACTGCACGCACCCACGCCCCAACGTCTCCGCTGTCCTTATGCTGCCAGGCCCGGGTCACGGTGCAAGAAAACATCACATGATGACAATGGAACGCATTATAACGAAAGTTCTCTGCAACGGTTGTCATGAATGGAATCGTGTGCGCATTGAAGCACAACGGCTGGATGGTGGAGGGAGGCGAGTCACGGGGGACGAGGTTCAAATCGAGGGGCTGAGGTTCAAATCGAGGGGCTGAGGTTCAAATCGAGGGGCTGAGGTTCAAATCGAGGGGCTGAGGTTCAAATCGAGGGGCTGAGGTTCAAATCGAGGGGCTGAGGTTCAAATCGAGGGGCTGAAGGATAAGTTATGAACCGAGAACGTGAAGGGCGTGTGGGAGGGACCTGGACGAGGTCGTCGTTGAGGACGCGCAGCACGCCGAACTGCTGACTGGCCGGGTTGAAGTACTCCGCGAAGCTGAAGTGGAAGCGCGACTCCAGCCACCACGTGGGACGGGACACGTACAGCGAGCTGCTCGGAATCTTCCTCATGAATTCCTTCACCCTGAGAGCAAAAACACGGCGTTTTATGAGAATGCCTGCGCACAAGCGAAGGTCGGAAATCCTACAATGCAACGCTAATGACGAAGAGGAAGGTTAAGGAACTAGGGTCCATTGGACGACGAACTGATCGCTTACATGACCGTGGAGCTTGACCGAATAGAGCCTTCTCTAGTGTAGGCTGTTGTGCGACGAGACGACGAATCTAACGATAAACTTGGTTTAGCGACGGAATTTACGGGAGATGAAAGAAAATGGGCTGACTTTCGCGGGATTGTTACTCTGAAGGCAGTCTTCGCTTTAACAACTAAAGCAGTGGTGGTTGAACTCGAAAGAGCTTGTGCGGCTGAATGTCTTGTCGATTGCAATAAATACGTCATTTGTGAGCAAGAAGGCTACAGGCAGCGGAATCTCGAGCGAGTAGGAACCAAGTAGAAGGCAAAGGCTTCTTGTGAGCTTCTAACCATGAGGAGCATTCAGCGAAAGCAGGAATTGCAAGCGGTAGATGGATGGAAGCAGAAAATTCGTGATGGCGATCGCGGAGGGGAGGGAAGGCGAGGCGAGGGGCTGGTGAGGAAATGGCCGAAGTGGGTGGAATTCGCCCAACAATTTCTAGGAAATGCGTAGAAGATCGCGAAGAATCTTTCGCCACTACGATTCTCGAGCCTGGCTGCGACGATTACAGCACGCTGCGACAACATTTGAGCACTTCGCTGGCCAGAGCGTGCAAATGACGCTTTCGTTATTGCCTTTCAGCTGCAACGCGTATGAAGGATGATTTTTCACTTCAAAATCCCAAAAGCTCCTTAGAATGATTTAGTAAAAACTCCAAAGTTGAGTCATCGAATTTGCGAGCAAACAAGAAGCAATTTCGTGGCAACCCATCAATGGAACAAAACCCGTTTGATGGCGACTGGAAACAAAGAAACGGAAACAGCACGGACAAATCTCGTTAATTAACATTCAAAGCATGAAAACAGTGCTGCATTGTGAATGCAGAGGAGTGTGATGTGGGAGGAGGCGACGTGAGAGGAAGACTAGGGGAGAGGAGGCGACGGGAGGGTAGGCAACGTGAGGCGGAGGCAGCATGAGGAGAGGCGACATTGGAACTCACCAATTCAGGTTGTGGAAGAGATGGATTTTCGATCTGTGCAGGAAAGAGGAATCAACAACCCTCAGGGTTAGGTACGACAGCAAAATAGACATGACCAGGTCCAACCGACAATCTCATTCAACAGTGCATCCCAGACAAGCAAGTGGGAGAAGTAGGTTTCCAGGCTACCAAAGCCGATTCAACGCATGTAGGAAAAGCGGAATCTTACATAGGAGAAATTGCTCCGAAAATCCTTCCAAAAATTGCGGTAGGAAAGGAATTGCTTGGATGACTGCGCAATCAACCGCATGCCACAAAGGCAGACAGAAAGACATGCAATACCGAGTAAACATAGTCATGGCAGCATTGAGAAAAGTGATGCAAGCTAGTGCGTGGACATCGAAGAAATGCTGGACAGTGAGGTTTGATCGTGGGTCATACCTTTATACTCGCTATAAGGTCACTGGTGACATTCTCAGCAGCAAAAAGCTTGGGATGCCACTCTGCCAGGCTCCAATCGGCGAAGGTTGTGGGATAGCGGGATATCCCCGAGGGGTCATACAGCTGGACGATAGGCAAAGCAGGGAAAGCGAGTGGGAGAAAGAATGGAAGAGGGCAGGAAAGCAGGAAAGCAGGAGCAGACTGATGCACGACTCTGAGCGTGACGACTGGGAACACCTAGCCCTGTTCCATGTGTCTGTGCTCATAGTCACATGCAGTAGGGCATGATGGTACAATGACAGCTGCATTAAACAATATTCACGAAACTAGTCTATATCCACTCACATGCAGCAGCACTTGGATGTAATGCTCATCGGCGCAGCAGAAGCGGCTGCCAGTCTTCATGCGGAACTGCACACACACACATGTGTGGGAGCAGGGGGCGGGTGAGCTCGTTGAGTTGACTCACGCAGCACTCATGCTACCCGCACTCTAACATTATCCACCTCTCATGAAAATAGAAGGCCGCTCAACCACCCATCACCTTCCCCAACCCACTCGAACAAAGTTTCCTAAATCACCTGACACGGCATTCACCAGGCACAGCATTCACCAGGCACAGCATTCACCAGGCACAGCATTCACCAGGCACAGCATTCACCAGGCACAGCATTCACCAGGCACAGCAATCACCAGGCACAGCATTCACCAGGCACAGCATTCACCAGGCACAGCATTCACTGGCAATGATGCGCACCTGGCAGCTCTTCTGGTGTGTGAGGTAGTGGGCGGTGTCCCTCGTGATCATCTGCACGTGCCTCCTCCGCAGCACAAACCACTGCCACGGCACATGCACCACAGCACGGCACACACATCACGTGAGCACTGTGTCGGGCAATGGCAAATGAGCACCAGCAGCAGAGTGCGAGGCAGAGGTGTTCCCACACTCGTGCAGTGCAAGGCATGCAGCAGAGGGTCACCTGCGTGCAGCTATCGCCCCACCGCCCCGTGCCCCATCTGGCTGCCCCGTGCCCCATCTGGCTGCCCCGTGCCCCATCTGGCTGCCCCGTGCCCCATCTGGCTGCCCCGTGCCCCATCTGGCTGCCCCGTGCCGTGCCCCATCTGGCTGCCCCGTGCCCCACCTGGCTGCCGCCCACGTAGTCGTCCTTGCGGATGAGCGGGCTGAAGATGTGCCTCTCGTAGCGCCGAAACCCCATGCGGTACTTGTTGTGGTGCCTGCACCGCCAGGGGATAACACAAATATACGATGTTTAATATTCAGAAGCACCGTATCTGACTCCCGAAAGCATCTTGAGGACAGGCAAGTGGGAAAAAGTGCCATGCCAAAGATTACGCAGCTATATGAGGAACAAGAAGAGTCGACCAGGAGGAGGCAGAGGGGCGCACTCACGCATCGAGAAGGCTGACGTTGGCAGAGGCAACGTAGCTGTAGATGAAGGTGAAGGGCCACAGGGGGATGCACCTGCCGTGGCACGGCAAGGGGGGAAAGGGGGGGTGGAGAGATGAGTGCAGGCACGACTCTAGATCTGATTGAACCCAAGTGCTGCTCGAATCTGACTACTCCGCATCTAATCCCCTCTGCTCTTCCTTGCTGCCTCTGTGACGAGTGCGGGAATTGTTGTGTGGGAGAGGGGCGGAGGGGGCTCACGAGTCGGAGAGGAGCGCGAAGAAGGCGTTGAGGGGGTCGAAGAAGGCGGCTGCGAGCAGCTTCCTCTCCGCCGCCACCATTGAGAAGTCGCCCCATGCCACCTGGCCGCACCCAGGGGACACATGAGGGGAACAAGGACGCGATGGAAGGGGGAGGGAAAGAGCCAGACTTGCTGTGCATCACTGCTTCCCGTTCGAGTGGAACAACACATGTGATTCAATTGATGCCATGCAACGGATGCCACACCATGCACGAACGCTACTATGCGAGTGCAGGTAAAAATAAGAGGTTTGGAGCAGTCCATCATGCCCTGCCTGTCCCCATGCGCCACACCTAGCCCCACCGCACTCCACGCTCCACCGCTCTCCACGCCTAGACCCACCGCACTATGCACGAGGGCTCACCTTGCCGCCTGGAATGAGCGCATCTCGGAAGGTGGGGGAGAAGTCAGGCGGGAAGGCGAAGGCGGGGGTGGACGCGTGCACGTACACGGAGTAGCGCCCCTCGTGGCCCTGCTGGGGACAGACGCGCGGGGCAGAGGGAGTGAGACAGTGAGCGGTGTGCGGCCGTGTTCAGAGATCGAGCAAGCTCCATTGACGCTTGTGAATCGCGTAATTCGCACCGATGCGCACCTGGAAGAATCGGTCCCACAGCGGCACGAGGGGGAGCGGGCCACGCGTGAGGAAGAGGAACGCGATCTTCTCCGTCGCACTCGGCTTCACCGTCGGGAATGTCTGATCGCTACCTCTGGCGGAAGCTTCCGACGTGGATTCCTGATCGCTGAGGTCATCGGGGTGAACGGAATCGTCTGAAACGGTGGCGAAGTAATGATTGGTGTAACAAAACGTGGTAACCACAAGTAGGACCAAAACACCGACGAAAGAAGCGATCCTCGTGGAGCGCGCGAATCTGGAAGCCTTCCCTTCCAAGGGACCAGTCGGTGGGCCCTTGGCGGCAGCGCGTCTCAGCATTGTGGGAATGCTAGCGCATGGCGACTATGGAGTAGGGAAATGTCAGGAAAGCATCGTGTCGACGCGGAAGGTACCGTGGCGTCGCTACGGCCTTGGCCGAGACTCGAACACCAACCAGCTGACGGACACGGCACTCACGAGCTTTTGACACAGATAATGCTGTGGGGCCAAATCTAGGCAAATCAGTCCCGAGAGGATGTGCTTTGCATTTGGGGGAAGATGCGAATGTGGTGGAGGGAAGGTGTTATGAATGAACTTGCAGAGTGCGCAGAATAACGAATATCGAGAATGATTGAGTACTGAATTACTGAATGACGATACAATGGAAGT